TATAAAAGTAATGATCCTATGAGACTTTTTCACACCCCTGTGTGTAGGATATCAAATGATCACTATTAAATTGGCACAGATCTCTAGAAAAGTTATCACATGAGTGTGGGAATAGACTTTTCTAGATATCAGTTTCAAATTTAATGATGATCCTTTGAGTCCTAGACATGAGTGTGGGAGGGTCTCATAGGATATATATATATATATATATATATATGACAATATTTCGTAATTGTATTGTTTAGGATGTGATTATAATACTTTCAACCAAAAAGAACATCAGAAATAAGGAGAGATTGAATCCCCGTACCTTTCTTCGTACAATAATCTGCAACATCATTGGCCTCTCTATAGACATGTCTGAACGATACACATAGGCCATTGCCAATCTCCATCACACTTAGCCAAAGTGGTCGCAATCTCCATGGAGGTCTTGAAACATTGTTGCACCAATTGATAACATTCAAAGAATCTCCTTCACTGACAAATGATTGCTTAAGACCCGTATCTTTCAATATTCTCATCCCTTGTAAAACTGACAATATTTCTGCTTCATTTGCTATTTTTTTGCCGGCAAGGGGCGGCATAACAAAGGATGATCTTGCTACTTGAATTCCGCACAATTTCCCCCCACTCCAGTCGGTTTCGGATTCGCCAAAGTGCAACCATCAAAATTCAATGTAATATTGCCCACTCCTGGAGCTTCCCATCGGCCTATAGGTCCCGTTTTAATAATTCTTTGCAACATAAGATTAGATGTATTCACTTCCATGTCCACATTGGATACACCAAATCCTTCATTAGTAACCGAAACCAACTCCACCGTGTATGTTGAATCCAAGTTTGTACAACCACATCTTCCATTGAAACACCTTGGACTCCAGGACTAATTTTTAGGGCCCCAAGGATTGTAGCCTTTTCAAAAAACATGCTATACTCAATACGAAAAAGAATTTCAAATTTGCATCCTCCAAGGGCTTAAAAGAAAGAGTGATTTACGTATGGACCCGAAATTTGATTTGATTTGATTTTATTTTTTATTTTCCGTTAGTAGGACAGTTCTCTAAGCTTCAAGGCACTGCCCTACAAATAATAAAGACAAAAAAAAAAATCAAAATTCGGATTGATCAAGGGGCAATTTTGAAAAAAAATTAAAAAATGGGTTGACTGACTTTCTTTGAAATTTCCGCTTCTAAGCAAAGCAGTTTGTATTTTACCTAAAATTTTAAGTTCTTCACGTAAATCATACTAAAGGAAAGAATGCCTTAAGATTTAATAAAATCCAATTTTCACAGGGTGAGATATTGAGTCTTAAAAATTCAAAATGTTTCCTCTGAATATAATAATCAAGGGATTTTAGGTGGTTCCCAAAATTCTGGATGGGAAAAATCTTCCAAGTGGTTCGTTTGCCTGAGGGAGTAATTGTACAATATACTCTGGTAGTATATATTCTATAATTATAGGTAATGTTACCTTAGGACATCGAGCAATATACCCCAAGCATGAGCATAAATGAATACCTAAAACTACACCGGCTACTCACGTTTTTATCCATTTTGCACGAACTGAGGTTAAGGCTTCCAACATCCAATGTTGAGATTTCTCTCGAGGAAAAGTACACAATAAGACAACTTATCTGTAGTATAAGGAGGTCACAATCATCTATAGTCATCAGATGTGAAATCGAGTGTCTAGAGGTGTCCCGTTAACTAGGTTCAAAATCCCAAAGAAATTTTTTGAACGTTGCGACGCATTCATTTCACATCTAACGGCTACGAGTGATTGTGACCTATATGTGCCAAAAATAAATAGTAGTATAGTATACATTCCCTTCTCTCAAATTTCCAATAAACCAAACCAATATTTAAAATCACCACTGGGGTAGTCTAACTAGGCACCTAGGTTGGAGCTGGCTCTACCAATTCATTGAGCCAGCTCTACCACCTCAGGTGATGAAAAAAAAGAAAAGAAGAAAACACAAAACAAAAAACAAGAACAAAAAAAGTGAGAGTAATGATCCTATGAGACCCTCCCACACCTATATGTGTATGACCTCAAAGGAACACCATTAAATTTGGCACAGACTTCTAAAAAAGTCAAGTGCCACACCCATGATAACTTCTCTAGAGATTTGTGCCAAATTTAATGATCATTTGGGGAGGGTCTCATAGGATCATTACCAAAAATAAAATACATAAAAACAAATTAAAAAATGAGGACCAAATATTTTATTTCATCAGATAGGAGATTCAAATCAAAATAAAAATAAAAATTACTTCAGGAGAAAGGGTAGAAAGAAGGTTGCGAGTACCTAAAATCGATCATGTTGGTTTTGATTCACAAATTTTTGAGGGTTTTTTTAGATCGATATCAGAGGAACATTTTGAGACAAGTTTCAATGAATTTCGTGAAACAATGAGAGAGAAATCAGATATTTTCAAACAACGGACGGCTGACACTTTGCTCAAGTCCATCTAGGTTGCTGGAGCATAGTAACACTACACAAGTATAATGTTAAACACTACATATATGTTTTATGTTAATTATTATGTTAACAATGGTCTCTCAACAATGCATGATATCACCCTATGATGCTCCAATACTTCAACATTGGTGACATTTCCATGTCGAATACTCCATAAATATGTCAAATGAAGAAAACGGATGTTTTAGTGGCATCATGCATCATAAAGCCATGTGTACCATACTTTGCAATATGCTGCTAGTATCATAGTATACTGGAAGGTCACACATGCCTCTAACTCCCTCCATCACCGCAGGCTCGAAGGTAAAATTGCGCTCATAACAGGTGGCGCTAGTGGCATTGGTGCCGCCACCGCCCGCCTCTTTAGTCAACATGGTGCTCGTGTCATAATTGCAGATATCCAGGATGACCTCGGCCAATCCACTGCAAGCTCCATACCCAATGCCACCTACACACACTGCGACGTAACGAACGAAGAAGACATATGCCAAGCCATCGACCTGGCAACCACTTTGGGCGATGGCAAGCTCGACATAATGTTCAACAATGCTGGCATAGTTGACCCTCCAAAGCCCAGCATCCTTGAGTACTCGCTCTCTGACTTCGATCGAGTCCTTGGAGTGAACCTCGTTGGTGCGTTCTTGGGGACCAAGCACGCGGCTCGGGTCATGATTCCGGCTCAATCAGGGTGCATACTATATACTGCAAGTGTGAGCTCGGTCATCGGGGGTGCAGCCACACATGCTTATGCTTGCACAAAACACGCCCTGGCTGGGTTAACAAAGAATGCAGCTGTTGAGCTAGGTGAGTTTGGGATTAGGGTTAATTGTATATCTCCTTATTGTTTGGCTACACCTTTGGCTAAGAAGTTTGTTGGTTTGGAACAAGATAAGGAGTTGGAAGAAGTTATGGGGGCACATGCAAATTTGAAAGGAGTAGTTTTGAAAAGTGAGGATGTGGCTAGGGCAGCTTTGTATTTGGCAAGTGAGGATGGGAGATATGTGAGTGGCCATAATTTGGTGGTGGATGGGGGATTCACCATAGTGAACACCTCTTTTCAGAGGGGAAATTAGTTCACTCTATTGAGCCAATGATCATATGCTTATGTTTGGAATGATGGGTCTCATGATTTATGGTTTCTTCAAGTGGATGTTAGGTTAAAAGGTCAGAAAAATAGACACTGTTTCTTTGTTCAGAAGTTTAGACTAGTGATTTAAAAACTTGTCGATCCGTGGAGAAAGATTGGAACTAGGAGGTGGACAACTATGGAAAATAGAAAATCCGATGTTAAGAAATCTGTTAATGTATTGGTATCGTCCGAGTCGGATCAGGAGAATTGAATTTTGGACCATATGGTGTTGGGTTTGATTTGGATTTTCTAAGCACGGTTTGAGACTAATGTTTTAAGACATGGCTTGGGCAGTAGACATGGTCCTTGCCACAGTGCTCAGGAGACTAGTGTTTTGAGACATGGCTTGGGCAGCGGACTTTGGCCTTGTCACAATGCTTAGGTGACTTGGCTCAGATTCAACCAAGGCTCACTGGAGCCAAGGGGAAGGGCCAAAAACAGCCCTAAAATTTTTCAGAAATTATTGAAAAAAAAGTAAAAAACATATTTCAAAGTTTCTTACAAAAATAATCATAGAAATGAAAACAAATAATCAATAACATAAAAAGTATGTAAAAGATGAAAAATGACAAAAAAAAAAAAACATCTCTCCATCTAAAGGAAAATTTGAAAAAAAAAAATAAAAAAATACCAACATTGTCAATAAGATGCAACAACATAAATGTTACTAGGTTGAGGGAAATTAGTAAAACATTCAAATATGAGAGGGTAAACTAAATAAAATAGAATTTACCCAAAAATTCAAATTTTTGATATTGGTCCCAAATCTTTGCACTTGGTGTTAAACAATGTCTCCAACTTTCGTCAAAGTTTCTCAAAACAAACCAAATCAAATCCCTAAACTAGTTTTCAATCAAGTTTGGATATGGACTTGGAAAATTAGGATGCAAAGTAAATCCGATTTATATCTATTAAAATATGAGATTATTATTATTATTATTAGTATTATTATTATTATTATTATTATTATTATTATTATTATTATTATTATTATTGTTATTATTATTATTATTATTATTATTATTACCATTATCATTATTATTATTATTATTATTATTATTATTATTATTATTATTATTATTATTATTATTATTATTATTATTATTATTATTATTATTATTATTATTATTTAAAAAAACATAGGATCCGATCAAGAACCAAAAAAATAGGCATATGATGCAAGGCTCATCAAAGATCGGCCCAAATTTGCAAAGAAATCACAATTTTTTTAACGGTAAGGCAAACGCTAGTCCCAAATACCCAAACCTTCTCTTAAAAATCTTCGAATTTTGATTATTTTCTTCTCTTGAATTCACTATTTCTAATTTGTAGAACAAGCAAACAAAGGGTCAAACATGGGTGAAAATGAGGGAATATAGGGCTCAAAAAAAAAAAAAAAGAGACTGAAGACGGGGGATAGAATTCTAACCTCGTTTTATATTGGAGTGTAATGTGTAGACTCAGCCCGATTACATTGCAAATCGGGTGTGTTAAACCGGGTTCTGTTGTACTCGGACCGTACAGTACTCGGGCAAGTAATGTGTAGACTCAGCCGGATTACATTGCAAATCGGGTGTGTTAGACGGGGTTCTATAGTACTCGGGCCAAGTGGGAGAAGCCATAGTCCATTAGGATATCATCATCCATGAAAATAATTGACATTGATGATGAAAGTGCGACCCGCCAAAATCAAACATGAAACCAATTCCTGCATTGATGGCCTTTAATGGTTTCAATGGATGGTTTTTAGGCTATGGTCAGAAACTTTTGGATTATGGTACCTCATTATCTAATATTTGTTTAGGGTAGTATTTTGGTGCGTGGTGCCGCTTGTATAGAGCCGAGGTTCTAAACAATTAAAGTAAATCCCACCTTCAAATAGTATCGAAAAATGTGCTTTCGCTACTGGAAATCTTTGTGATATCCGTAAAATATGTTTTCATTTTTTACTATAAAAGTTAAAGCTTCAAAAATAATGTAGATCGAGCAGATCTATGAAAACTTGAAAATCTTGAAAATTGTTGGTCCAAAAATGCATTACAAGACTAGGTTTCGAGAAGATCAATTTGAAATTCATTACAAGCACTATTTCCAAAACTTGAAATTCATTTTTTTCTCATGTCCATGCATCTTGATTTCGAGATGATTAATTTGAGGATATTTGGGCATCAAAACAACCTCTTCTAGTAAATTTCTTGAGGTGGGCTCTGATTGAATTGTTTAAATCCTCGGCTCTATATAAGCTAATTCCATATTCAAATGTGTTCTCCTTCCAAAAAATAATTGTAGAGATGGATTTTGGATATTAAATTCAGAAGTGGATAACCTTAATCACCACGGTCATGCATCTAAAAGAATAATCTTGACCTCATTTTAATTCTTCATAGATCATTATATCTACTTTTTTTTTAGATGAAAAATCATGGGTCAAAAGTAGAAATGCATCTAAAGTTACTTAAATTGTATTTTTAGATCCCAAATCCATCATTAGAGTGTAATTTTTAGGCAAGGAAGCATTCGAATAGAGGTGCACCTAAATTTTCCCTACCTACAAAAAAAAATATTTTGGAAAAGTTTAGCTTAAAGGATAGGCTTTTTTATAAAAAGTAAATGGACATCAAATCTCATAGGAAATTGCAGTTCTAACATTGACACACATTCTCAATTTTCATCTTGACCTTCATCACACATTCTCAATTTTCATCTTGACCTTCATCTTGACCTCGACTCATGAGTCTCAGAAAAAGAACACAATCTCAAGCCAAAAAATAGTACATCTAGTAATATACTATCTGGACTGTCCATTCTCAAATGCTCATAAGACGGCTACAACTAATTATATTTTTTGGAACTTCAAATTTCTATTAAGGGATGAGAATATATTTGTACGCCATCACAAAGATTTCTGAATATTGAAATGGTATTTCTATTGGGATTTGGATGTGTGACATTGCTTTTTGTAACGGGCCTCACAATAACTGCACCCAAGCATAGAAATATTTAAGCCACAAATCATCATGTTACACAACAAAAATCTTGATCGAAAACATAATAGTCCCATGATTCCATCCTTGTTTTCCAGGTTAATTTAATTTTTATTTTAAAGTTATCTATCTTTAAGGTACATTAATGAAATATGGGATAGAGGCTCTACTAGTTTTGTGAGTGTTGATGCAGCAGTGTCGCCTGGGATTCTATGACTGGTTTGGGATACTTCTACTTTAAATTGTGTGGATGTAGTTTTAAAAGACAAAATTATTGCTTACGTTTTTAAGGGACCTTTATGAAATTCCAGATAGCTATTGGTCAATGTTTCTATTATGAATGTTCAGGCACAAAAACACTTATTTTTTCAAATTTTTCCACTATTAAATTTTTTTTTTTTACCAAGATCAATAATTTTATTATAATTTACTGAAAAGAGATTACATCATCAGAAACTAAAAGGCTATGAATAGACATTCCCCCTTTAGCAAGGGTATCGGCAATAGCGTTAGCCTCCTTGCAAACATGAGCAAATGACACCATTACATTGTCAACCAAATCCATCACCTCCAGCCACAAAGCTCAAAGTTCCCAAGGGACTCTCTGCTCCTTCTTGCACCATCTGATTACATTCAAATAATCACCTTCGATCGTGCAACTAATCCCCATATTCTTACTGCTGAAAATTTTGAGACCACACAACAAGGCACTTAATTATGCGAAATTAGCCGTTGTAGAACCAATTGGGCCGGCATATGAGAATATAATATTGCTAAAGCAGTCTCGCAAAAGACCACCTGTTCCTGCCAACCTCGGATTACCCAAAGAACTTCTGTCAAAATTAAGCTTTAGGCTTCCTTGACAGGGAGCAATCCAAATACTCATAGGCTTTGATTTTACAGAGCCGAGAAAAAACAAATTTTGTAAATTAGCCATTACATCCACCTTGGATATTCCCCACCCTTCTCTCTTCACTGACAACCAAGACCTGATGGAACATTTGCAAATATGAAAAATTCGATCACAAGAGCAAACCACCCCTTTAAATGTTCTCATATTCCTTTCTTTCCATATCTCCCAAAAGAATTGTCCCAACTGTAATCTTTCAGACAACACGACCTATCTTAGGAAGAAAAGGTGCTTTCAAAGAAGTTACCAAATCTTCAATCCTTTGAGGGAGTGGCATTTGAACTACAACCATCTCAAAAAGCCAGTACCGTAATCTCGCAGTGAATGAATAATGGATCAATAAATGTGGCCCAGTCTCTCCATCGTTTTTGTATAGAAGGCACACATTAGGCAGTATCTTTCCCTTTTTAATCAGATTGTTAACAGTTAGGATTTTGTCCTGTGCAGCCAGCCAATAAAGATTTGTACTTTATGTGGAATCGGCCATTTCCAAATTTCCACAATATTTGCGTATGACCATCTCCATCTATCACGGAGGAATAAATTGTAACATGATTTCACCGAAAACACTCCATCCTTTTCAATTTTCCAAATGATATTTCCTCTATTATTTTGTATTCAAATGTTCCTTGGTGTATAGGGGGGAGATTTTAATTTTATTATATGGCTGGAGGAAGCATCTTCTTATATTTTTCCAAATGCTTATATGAGAATGTTTAATGACTTTATTTTGCGTCATAAACTAGTAGATTTACTAACTAATTATTCAATGTTCACCTAGGGGTCGTTTGGATACTTTTATTTCTATTATAGAGAAATAGATTACGAGAAAATGCATCATTTCTAGTATTTGGGTACTCACATAATGTGTAGGAAATAAAACACATTACCGAAAATTTCCTAAAAAATCGTGAAATCTATTACCCACCCCAATAGGTAAAAAATGTATTATGGGGATTGGCGGGTAATATGAATTCACACACCCGCTAGAAATCATTAAACATGTCTAAAGAATTTGAAGTCTGCCTCTCTGTTTTGCTCAAAAGACTCATCTGCTGTTTCGCTCAAAAGACTCATCTGCATTTCACGTGGCTATCAAAGACTCCTCTCTCTCTCTCTCTCTGATGTTGCCATCAAAAGTCTCTC